GTCACAGTTGAAGAGGTTTTATGGTTTTTAGGATGCAGGCTAGAGGCGAAGACAGAGGAATAGATGGCAGATATTGTCCATACTGAAAGTAATGAGTTAAGAGGAGAGAAGTGGAGTAGACACGAGAAGGAGCGAGCAGCTACCAGGCTTTGCAGTAGGCGTCCCTGACAGTCCTGGGCTGTAACGTGGCTGAGTGATCACAGCAGGCATCCTCGAGATTGACCAGACACCAAGGGAAGGCTGTCTTCCTGGGACCATGACTGACATCGGAGTGTTTGAGCAAGAGGGAGAGACTTGGCTCCTCTGTTTGTACAGATAGAGAGTGTTGCCTTCGTCTGTGCTAGAAAGGTTTAAAGGAAAAGAGAGAGAAAGGAGAGACTTGGCTCCTTTGCTCTAAAGGAAAATAGAGGTTGTTGGGCTGGTCTGATGTGCTGAGATCTTACTGCACTGAGGTCGCAGGTGGGTCTTTTCACAGAGGGAGAGCAGGGACAGGGGCTGGTCTCCCCAAAGGAGTACCCCTGTCCCGGGTTTTGGCACCAAATGTTAAGCACGTGCTCTGAATGCAGAGACCCCCTAAGCAGGCTTTGTGTGAGCAACATGGCTGTTTATTCACCCGGGTACAGGTGGGCTGAGTCCAAAAAGAGAGTCAATGGAGGGCAGAGGGACAAGAGTTGGGTTTTATAGGTTTGGGGTAGGCAATGGAAAGTTACAGAAGTTACAGTTCCGGGCAGTTTTTGCAAGTTGGGAGGGGGTCACAGGGTCTGGAGTCACGAGCTTGACCAAGGTCAGTTATAAAGTCCAATTGCCTTATCAGTTGAGATGGGAATTAAGCGCTGCCAGGGTTGATCTTTCTTTTCCTTTGTGTGGTTTTCCAGTTACTTCAGACTTTCTAGTTCCAGAAACTCATCTGGAGTGTACCTGCAGGCAGAGGTTACTATGGTGCAGTCCATGGTGCAGTCCGCCAGCCTAGAACCTTATGTTGTTAAACCAAAGAAAGCTCACTGATCCCAGGGCTCATTCAGAGGGTTCTGGCCTCCGTCCCTCAATTTCAGTGCCTGTGTCACATCCCTGAGAGACTGAGTGCTACAGATACATAGCCTCTTGGGAATACTCAGGAATGTAATGTGGGGCACTAGATTGAGGGATTCCTGGGGTACTTAGCCAAACAAGACCACAGCCAGCCACAAGGGCCCATTCTTCATTTATGCCCAACTACTTTTTGAGTCCTTGTGGTTCTAAGAACCCCAGTCCCAAATCTTTTTCCTCACTTTGATTACCACTGCAGTAATCAAAGAATAGCTGCAAGTGGTTTGAACTAGGGCAGGCTTTGAGACAGACTTAGGATGTGGCAAAATGAACAGAGCTTAGGTATTCACTCATTCAACAAATACATATATATATATACATACACACACACACATATATATATACTCCCTGTGGTGAGCTCTGTCCTGGATGGCTGGGGTAAATTAGGAAATACAGCCACAGTGGTCTCTGTCTTCATTAGCCTTAGTGTCAGGAGGAAGATGGATTTGATGTAGGGATGTGAATGGCAGATTCAGACTTACCTCCTGGTTTCTATTAAGTTGGTACAAAACTGCAGTTTTTACCATTATTTTTAATAACTTTTGCACCAACATAATAGTTAATAGGATGCTGTTACTGAGGCAAGAGGTGAAGGGAAAGGAGCTTGGGACCGAGGCCACGTAGCAGTCAGGAAAATAATGTTTGAAGAAGTGAGAGGAAGGAGCAAAGCAACAGTTTCTCGCTAGACGCCCCCGCACCCCTGGCACAGGTCGGCGGGTCAGAGCTCAGGGGAGTGTCCCAGGAAGCTGTGCTGCACGGCTTCTCAGGGGATGCTGGGAGCCACATGGTCGGCTGCAGCCAGGTCACTAGAGGTGGACATGGCGCCTCCGCCAGTCAGCAGGGTGGGCAGAAAAGAAGGCGGTGCAAAGTAGGAACTGCTGGGACAGCCTGGAGCGTTCTGGGCATGTCTGTGTGTCCGTTTTCATGCCTGACTGCATGACCTTCTGGATGTAGTGGCCTCAGCCTTGCTTTGTAGGAGAGGAACATGTAATTTTCTCTTTACCCTTCACAGTTCCCAGTCGGGATAGACCCCTGTACCCTAAGACAGATTAACAGGAGGAAAACAGGTTTAGGAACACGTGTACAGGCTGTATTACAGGACACAGCCAGAGTAATGAGGTGGCTTTGACTTGAGGCTTGAATACTCCCATGGTCCAGTGAAACAGAGAAGGAAGGGTGTGGGGAAGGCCAGTTATGAGGAGAGGCCCAGAAAAAAGCACCTTAGACAAGAGTCGCGTATGTTATTGCAGAATTAAGTCAGTGTCTTCTAGATTGGTCATCATCTCCAGGGGTTCAGTCATTCATGTCTCTCTCAAGAGAGGAGCCACCCTTAGAGATGGAGATTTTCTTTGTAAATTTACTTTTCCATAGACGACAGTAACTTCTGTTGTCAGAGGTTCTTCCTGTGTCTGTGGTTTCTCAAAATAATCAGCTCAAAATATTCTTTATGCTAAAGAAGCGTATTTTGAGGTGGCATATGCTGGTCTCCTACACCTCCTGCCTTCTGAGTCTCTCCCAGGTTTCCCTCCTGTCCAGCTCCTATCTTTGCAGGAAACAGAACTTGGGGGAGATGCTTCCCAGCCTTAGGTGGGACAGTGGCCCCAAGCTGAAAGCACAGATCCCTGCAGGCTGTTTTGATGCCTCACCATGCTCATGAGTCTTAGCTAGGGATATAGCAAGTCAGCCTGGGAAGGATGGGGGCTAAAGATTAAATTTGGGAGAGTTGTGATCAAATGCAGAAATGGTAAAATAAAGGTGGGAGACCTGGGGAAGGAAGTGCAGAGCAGGTGGGAAAGGGGAGAAGGTACCAGACAAAGATGGAAACTGAGAGAGTGGAGGGAGACCAGGAAGACAGGCAGGGTGGGGCCGTGAAGCCAAACAAACAAGGGAGTGGTGAGTAGTCAGCAAGGGGCCTGTGAGTCTGGAAACTCTGGGGAGAGAAAAATGCATGGTGGGCCTGGGATGTGGAGCCCACTGAAGAGCTTCGCACCACCGGATTCATGCGTGTGAAAACAAGCCAGTCAGAGCAAGTTGAGTGTGGGGGAAGAGAAATGCAGGTGGTGCGTGTACATAGCAAGAAAAGTTTGGCTGCGATGCTGGAGAGGAGTGGGCAGTTTCCGCTCCTGGGGAGAGGAGGGGTGGCATTTTAAGTTGAGGAGAAGTCTTGCTTCCTACTACAAGTGAGAAAGGTTCGTTTTCATGTGCATTCTAAAGCCGTCTGCTTAGTTTCATCCAGTGAGCCTCAGCTCTGTGCTAGGAAAAGATGCTTGGGAAAGAATCCAAGAGACATAGGTCTTGTCCCCTCCAGGAGGCAGGTAAAGGTCTCTGTAGAGGGGATGGAATGACGCTTGAAGAGGGCCAAGTGGGCTGGGATGTGCCCAGCTGGCTGAGACTCTGAGAAGGGAGGAGGTATCAGAGCTGGGTTTTGAAAAAGAGCTGAATAGTCTCCAGGCAGAGGTATGTAAAAAGGCACAGAGGGGCAGGGCCTCAGGATCTTCTGTCCCTGGGTACCCTAATTGAACCACTTTCACAAAGGCACCTGCTCTGGGCAGACAGGGGGAAGGGCAGAGCCCCAGCATACAAGGTATGCCCCCATTCCTTCCCTGTGGATAAAAGCTCCTGCGGGGTGCACAGCTATACAGATAGGCCCTGTTGGGGTTCGGGGCACATAAACACTTTCCTGTGTAGCTTAATGGCATAAGAAAAGCCGTATCTCTATGTTCTGTGGGGGGAGGAATAGATGAGGAACTGGGGGAGGACCAGAGGAGGAGAATTGTAAAAGCAGAGGGGATTTCTTTGACCCTCAGGAGAATTTACCTGGGCATGTGCTCTGAAAGCCCAGCAGTCCTGGAAGGAGAAGCAATGAATCATTTATGATTGTTTTCACTTTGTATTCATTAAAGGCCTCTGCACTATTATTATGGAACCTTAATTGGCTTGGCACTGGGCACTGCCTCTCCCAGCCCCTGCTCCTCCCCCCGTTGCCAGCAGAAATTCCTGGAGTGAGCAGGAGAGAGGACCCTGCCTGGGAATAGGTAGCTGAGCTAGAATCTACCTGGAAGATCAAATGAAATGCAGTTGCTTTTCTTTCTTCTCTCTGATCATATATTAATAAATGTATCTCATCGGGTTTTAGCTCTGCTCCCCACGAGCTGCCCCAGGCACCTGCATCTCTTAGCCCTCTTTGCTTCCTCAGCCTCCAGAGAACTTTCCATCAGCTACCTCTTGCCCAGCCTTGCAGACGCAGTGACTTCACGCGTGACAGCATGCAGCCTTTGTTCCAAGTACCATATTGAGCACTGAACCAGCAACAATATTCGGGTTACCTGATTTACTTCTTTTAATACACTTCAGGGTAATTATAACTGCATAAAAGAGAGGACAAATTGGCCAGTAATTACAGTGTTAATTTGGCAATGTTTTATCATATTGTGGAAGCACAGTTTCCTCTCTAATTGTGTTGGGGGGATGCATTTGTCTATGGTACAGCTTACTGAGGGATTCTTGAGAATGGAAATGAAACACAAGAGACAGAGAAATCAGCTCTCCTCCCCATAAATATTCCTGTATTTGCGTGTATTTTGCAGCCTCCTTAAAAAAGCTAACTAACTCATTAATTCAGCCCTAATTAATGGAATGCCACAGAATGTGTGATTAGAATGTGACGGATTCTGCTGATGGATGGCCTTGCCTTTGCAAACTGGACATACCCCCAGATAAAAGGGCTGAACACTTCCCTTTCAGAATCTCACGGGCTGTGCATGCCTCACCACTGTCCCTGCTGAGAACGCGACCGTAGTTCCCGGAAAATGCCCCAGTCCCGGATGCCAAGAGGCCTTCCTCACCTTCCTGTGTGTGATGTGTATCTGCAGCCTGATCGGTGCCATGGCGCAGACGCCCTCTGTCATCATCCTCATCAGGTAAGCCGTTGGCATGGCCCCACCTCTCCTCCTTTCCACCAGGTGTTCTGCAGGTCTCCCGGGGACGAGAGCTTCCAACGCCATAGGAATCTTCCCCCCAGCCAGGCGAGCTAGGGCCTCAGCAAGGATTGTGGCTTCTCTAGGCTAATAGAAATCAATTAGGTTTGATAGGGGCCTCCCACCAAGAGAAGAAGGTAGGGCAGAGGGGAGAAGAGGGTACTTTCTTGTTCTCCCAGAAATAGACCCTGCAGGCAATTTTCAAAAGGATTCTGCATTGATCCTTGCAGGATGCAGCCTTGTTGGAGGAAAATGAAAATGGCCTCAGTGCCCAGCCCCCGCCACTGCTTAGCCATATGACCGTGGGCACATTTCCTCTGAGACTTGCTTCTGAATCTGTAACTGGGACTGATACGACCAATCCTGCCTGCCTCCTGCAGTGGGGCAGGACCCACTGTGTGTGCAAACCCAGTGGAGATGTGAGGGATCTCGTGCAGCGGGGCTCACGGCAGCTGGGCAGTGGCCATTCTTGTACAAAGAGGTCGTTGGAGACAGCCAACTGAAATTCTGTCGTTACCTGTCCTGGGCACAGGTGAGGTGCCTCAAAGATGAGCCATTAGTAATATTCTGAGTCACTTTTATCATTTGCAGAGTTGTGGAACCCAGAAGTGAGCTGACACATACCTGCCCCTCATCTGAATCAGGGGAAGGCACGCTACACAAAGACTCACCAGCTGGGCGTGGTGGCTCATGCCTGTAATCCCAGCACTTTGGGAGGCCAAGGTGGGAGGATCACTTGAGGTCAGGAGTTTGAGATTAGTCTGGCCAACATGACAAAACCTCATCTGTACAAAAAAAAAAAAAATACAAAAATTAGCAGGGCATGGTGGCACACACCTGTAATCCCAGCTACTTCAGAGGCAGAAGCAGGAAAATTGCTTGAACCCAGGAAGTGGAAGTTTCAGTGAGCTGAGATCATGCCACTGCACTCCAGCCTGGGTGACACAGCAAGACACTGTTTTGGGGAAAAAAAAAAAAAGGCTTGCCTTATTGGGATGCAGATTCCATAGCAAGGGTGGGATAGAAAAGTAGGAACGAAACTCGTGGAGTACCCAGTGTCCACGCACCTCACCTCTAGTTTATCCAGCTTTTCTCTTCCTCTCACTTTGTGTTACGAATGCCCAAGGAAGAGGATATTTAATGTTACCTCGAAGGTCATTAGCAAGGCCTTGTGAATGTGTACAGCATTAAGGCGACAATAGCAAATTGCCATTTGATACTTACAAAGACACCCAGTGGTTACAAGGCTGAAGCAGAACTGGCAAAATTACCAATTGCTGATGACATGGGAAAAGCCCATCATGCCTTTCGCAAAAGCAATGTGCCAGTCAGTCAGGAGCCATAAAATTATTCAGACTCTTTTATGCAGTAAATATGCATAAATGCCCCTGCCATTTATCTTAAGAAAATAATTCTCTACAAGAAAAAGAAAAAGCTCAATGCAGACAGATTTTTATTACAACGTTAACTATAATAGCAGAAAACCTGAATTGAAATAGTGAGTTCAATTGTGGCACTGCAGTTCCATGGAATAATGAACATTCTTAAGAATGTGAAAGTGTTTATGAAATGAACTATTGAATTTAAAAGTATTTAGAGAGGATGATTATGTATCATATGCATTTGGACAAAAGCCATCAGATCTCATGTACAGGGTTTAGGTGGCTGCCTTATGAGTTTATGTTTCATTATTAGACATTCTCGTGAAATTATATTGTGATATCCATACACCAAAGGCACCAAGAAGCGTGAAAAATGGCTAGGCCTTTACGCACTTCCCCCACCAACTCCCCTGCAAAAACCCGGCCTCTGCACACTCACCAGTGGTGACCACCAAACATGGAAAGTTTGTTGAAATTCTTAATCACTTCCCAATCTCAGCTTGATAAACAGCTCCTGGAGCTTTGCTGGAAATATTTGATTCCCTCTAAATTAATCAGCTGCAGATGGCCTGAATGGCCTAAGCTTATAACCAACCCCACGCTGTGCTGCAAGTACACGCTATGCACAGACGCAGCTTTATCGCTTCACCTTCCTGGTCTGATTTGCCATCACAGATGTCCCAGGCTGACACAGGGGCAAAGATGTGCCCTAGCCCTTGCCCCATGCCAGACAGGACAATCCCACCAACGGCAGTGCTCAGAATGTCTGGAAGTGAGGTTAAAACCTGATGCTCAGCCTTAGGCCCCACACTGGGCTCGGAGAGTAATTAAGTGGTGTTCTCAAGGTCACAGAGCTTACATGGAAAGTTAAGACTCCCTCCCCAGTGTTGTCCAGAACTTTCAATAGCGTTCGCACAGAGCCCTCTCTGCTCCTTCATCACTAAAGCCAGAAAGGATTCCTCTTCCCATAGAAACCAGTTTCCCAAGAGGATGTGAAGGGAGATCTTAGCACCTTGCTCACTTTGTTCGTCGTGACATGATAGCTCAAAGGAAATCAAATTTCAGGTGATGAATATTCTGGCTCATTATACCGGAGTGCTTTCATGATAAGGAGAATTTGCCTCTATTTATGCGTCTAAATCACAGTGTAAAAACTGGAGCCACGGAGCCGATAATATCCTTGAAGAACTTGGATTCTGGGACGTGCACATTCTAGAGTACTGACTGTTTCTGTCCAGAGGCACTGGACTTCACCTGGACTTTGTACTGGTATCTTACCAGAGTCACACCCCCATCACTCATGAAAGTCATGACCTGCTGCCCTGGGATGACTTACCTGTAGTCTCCTCTTTATAATTAAGAGATGTGTTTTCCCTGAGAATCTTAGAAATGGGGGCCAAGACTGTAAAAATGCCAATGTCTTCATTCATTCGGCCTGCTGTAACAAAATACTTAGACGCAGTGGCTTCTACACAAAAGGCACTTATTTCTGTTGGTTCTGAAAACCAGCGCATTCAAGATCAAGGTGGCAGCAGGCGTGCTGTCTGGTGAGGGCTGGTGTCCTGGTTCAGAGATGTGCCTTGCTGCCATGCCCTGACATAGAAAGGTGAGGTAACTTTCTGGGGTATCCTTTCTAAGGGCACTGGACCTATTCACAAAAGCACGAGTCCTCATGACCTAATAATCACCTTCCAAAGGCCCCAGCATTACCTTAAGGGTTAGGTTTTAACGTGTGAATTTGTAGAGGACACATCCTTTTTGAATTGTTACTGAGTTTGTCATACCAACAAACCAAAGACATGCCCACCTGAGACTCAAACCAAGTGGTAGCTCGTTGGATGGCTGGATGAATGACCTCTGAGATCATTTAAGAACGGTATTCTAGCCAAGTCCATAGATAGCTTAAATATCCTGTGTACTGGATAGCCTGTTCGTAACTTTGTTATTAATGTTTATTTTGTACGAAACTGATTTCTAGGCCCTCCTTGCATCTCATGGCTCTTTGAGCCATACTGGACTGCTTCTACACCTAGCCAGGTCCTTCCAGGGAGCATAGACATGTGATTCCTTTCCCCTCTCCCCTAGGGACCCATCATGGGGACAGATGAGAGGAAGGTTCTTTGGCACTGGTATTCAGGATGACCTGAAGCACATATGCATGTGGTCAGTCAACTGTCTTTCCCTTCACATGCCTTCATCACCAAGCCAAGAAATGGCTACCCACCCATCTACCCACTCACACTGTCACATAGCACATGCTGGGCACCACACATAGTGCTGGGGTTGAGGTAATGATAATAAATAAGACACAAATAGCCTTTGGCCCCAGGACAGAAGCCAAGTGTTGAAGAAATACCAGCTACATAAGTAGGAGGTACTACGAAGGAGGCTGTGTTATCAGCTGTATGGACCCATCTGCCTGAAATTGGTCAGTTTCCAAACTTCTCTCTACTATCCCATCCCAGAAAATGTTACACTCTGGAAATGTTCTGGAAAATGTATAAAACATCATTCCAAGGGACTATTCTGAGGAACCCAAGGCCAGGGAGATTCGATCACTTTGAAACAAAAACCTGTAATTAGATGAAGATAACTTTCCAATTTAAAAGGTGCTTGTATTAGGGTTCTCTAGAGGTACAGAAGTGTGAGAGAGAGAGATCTTATTGTATCTAATCACTCACACAATCACCAAGGTTCCACAATAGGCTGTCTGCAAGCTGTGGAACAGGAAAGTCAGTCTGAGTCCCGAAACTGAAGAACTTGGAATCTGATGTTTGAGAGCAGGAAGGGTCCAGCGCGGGAGAAAGACGCAGGCGGGTAGACTAGACCTGTCTGGTCTTTTCACACTTTTCTGCCTGCTTTGTATCTACCTGCACTGGCAGCTGATTAGATGCTGCCATTCCCAGCCCACTAGATCAAATGTTAATCTCCTTTGGCAACACCCTCACAGACACACCCAAGCTCAATACTTTGCATCCCTCCATCAAGTTGACACTCAATATTAACCATCACAGTGCTGAAACATGCTAAGTGGCTTATTTCCCAAATGGTCCCTCTAGGGGGTCAAACCATGCTAGCCTGGTGGATTTCACACAATGACTGGAGAATGGGAAAGATGTTCACGGTGTCAGCCTGTTTGTGAAGCGTAAGGGGGATTATTTTCTACGTTGACGTTTCTCCCCCATACATGTACCCCACCAACTTAGATGCTTCCTGGTCTCAGCAAAACCAGCATGTCTTTTATGTCCAAATTTGCATTCTATCCTTCGAATGACAAGGTGAGCTCCAGTTATTAAAAAACGCTGTTAAATTCCTAAACTTTCTTGGCACCACAGTAGCGGTAATTTTTCAGACTTTAGACAGGGAAACCAAAAAAAAATAAAGAGAAGACGCAATTAGTAATTTTCTAAATAAGAGCTCTCATGGACAGCAGCAAATGACTCTGGGGTCTGTTAATTACAGGGGAGTGATCAAAATCTGTTTTCTTTCCCTCTTCATCTCTTTGCATGTAGGACAGTCAGCCCTGAACTCAAGTCTTACGCCTTGGGAGTTCTTTTTCTCCTCCTTCGTTTGTTAGGTACGTATTCTCTATTTCCTCAATAACGAATTGGATGCTTATTACTAGGTGAGTAAATATCAGTGAAATTATCCCATTTCCTGGGTCTGTCTCTTTTTTCCTTTGAAGTTTAATTATTAGGAAATGAG